TTAGCTAACTGGCAGGTCCAGTCAGTGAGCACAATACGGACAGCCTGAATAAAAGTGACTTGTTGAAGGTTCATTAAAGTTTAATATAGTTACCCCAGGAGCCACTCATCGAACACGGGCCTCCCACCGAGCGTATGATGATCTTTTGAAAGTTCATTGACAGGGCCACTCAGTGAACGTTTCTCGTGACACTTCTCTGTTGGAGGAGTCACCCAGCGAGCGTTTGTGACATCTCCTTTCCCCAAATACTGGAGGGAGCCCCTCAGCAACCTTTCTAGCTCAGTATCTCCCCAGCAGCGCCTTCTATAAGGCACCATTAACGGCGGCCACTCAGCAAGCTTTCCCACCCAGCACACATAAATTTAAGACTCCTTTGTTTCACACGGACACTCTGTGAAATTAACTTAGAAGGGACTTATGATGACATACTGTTGCTGGTGGGACGTATCGTACGTTACCGTCAAGTACCGTGCACTAGTTGATAAAGTGTGACCTTTTAACTCCTTTTATATTGTTAGAAACCCACTATCAGTCCCCACCCCCGCCCCCGCCCCACACACCCACGACCACTCTCATTTGGTGTGTGTGTGTGTGTGTGTGTGAACTAACGTACGTACATCACCTTTTATTGGGATCACAGTATCGGTGTTCGTGGTCGTTTTTACTCGACTGTCAGCCAGAATTTCAATGGAACAAAACCTCTGATAGAAAGGTTTTTTTTAGGGACGGGGCGGGGTGGGGTACAGGTGAGACACGGGGTGGGCACAGGTGAGACACGGGGTGGGGTACAGGTGAGACACGGGGTGGGCTGGGTGAGACACAGGGTGAGGCACAGGTGAGACATGGGCACAGGTGGCAGAAGGAGGGCCACAACAGTAGTAGTAAAACAGTGAAAGGTGGACTTGGGACAAAATTAGAATCAAGAAAAAAAAACCGTAAACCCGGACATAAACACAATCTAAAAAACAAAACCTGAACCAAACGAAAATCCTCTGGACAAAACCTGACCAGTAAAAACCGAGAAATCTGGACAAAACCCGCACACCTGATTACGGGTTACGTCCCTCGCCTGCAAAACTCCAGGTAAAACTGTGCGAAGGGGGGGAGGGGAGGGGAGGGCAGGCAGGGGAGGGGGAAGGTGGGTCAAGAAAGGAAGGGGTGGGTTGGTGGGTGGGGGTGGGGGAAGGGGGGTAGGGCAAGCGCAATTTCGAAGGTGGCAGACGAAAATCAACTCGGCCTGATAATCAATTTCTATTCGGCTGTCAGGGGTGGCTAATGATGTCACGTGCCGGATTTATTCCCAGGTCGAGTCGTTTACGAGTAAAGTTTGAGAGCTTTTCCCTCGACGCCCTGAACACACACACACACACACACACACACCATTTCTTTACCCCCAGACAATAAATTATTCGTTTTTGTTTTGTTTTAAGTCGACCCAGTTTATGACGAGGGTTATGTGTCGGTCTAGTTAAGGTAATAAATGTTTACCTCTCATTAAGGGTGACCGTCTCTCTCACACACGGAGGGGAGGGAGGGAGACATTATCAGTCAGATCAGGATAGGCAGGTGAGTGAGTTACAATGAGTTAAGAAAAAAAACGTGGCATTGGAGACGTGATGATAGTGTTAGTTGTATGGTAATGGAGGGAGGAGAGTTATTCACCCTCCTCACAGCTTTTGAAACTTTCCTCCTCCAGTGGTTACAAACACCGACTGACCCCCCCCCTCCTCCCCCTCCTCCTCCTCCTCCTCCTCCTCCTCCACAATAACACGGCCTTCATTTTCTGGTTTTGTTCTCTCTAATTTAAAAGCAATCCCTGTTGTGAGAATGAAGTCACGACCCACTTAACACTATACTCCCCCGGTCCTTAAGTTCTGAACCTCGTAATAATCTCGCTAATGAGAGAGAGAGTAATAACATTAATGAGGCAGCGAGAGGTCTAAGGGGGTCAACACAGGTAAATATAGATCAGGTAAAGTAATTGACTTCCTTTGTAGGCCAAGAAAGACCAGTCATTGTCCTTAGTGTGGTGTCCTTCCTTCCTTCCTCCCCCCCACCCTTTAAGGACATCCTACTCGCCCTTCCTACCTTTCACCCTTCCCTCTTAAGGATCTCCCCATCCTCACCTCCCTCCAACAAGTTCCCTATCCTCCCCTCCAAGGACTCCCACACTCTCTCTCCCTCCTTCCCCTCGTCCTGCAATCCTCCTACCCTCCCCAGGATCCCCACGTCTCCTTTAAAGTGTGGCTGGCGGGCGGGCGCTGGTCGGGGCTAGGCGGAGACTGCTTTAAGGGTGAACTATCACACATGTAAATATTATCACTGCTCTTCCTCATCATCCTCTCTCTCTCTCTCTCTCTCTCTCTCTCTCTCTCATCATCTTTCATCTTCTTCCTTCTCTTCCTCTTTCTCATCATCTTTCGCCTCTTTCTCTTCTTCCTCCTCCTCCTCCTCCTCCTCTTTCTCTTCTTCCTCCTCCTCTTTCTGTTCCTTCTCATCATCTTTCTTCTCTTCCTCTTTCTCCCCCTCCTTCTCTTCCTCTCTATCCTCCTCCTTCTCCACCTCTTCCCTTTTCTCCTCCTCATTCTCTTCCAATTTGTCCTCCTCCTTCTCTTTCTCATAATCCTCGTATGCATGAATCAACCTGTATGTGGCCCATTCGTCAACGTCAGTCTGTGTGTGTGTGTGTGTGTGTGTGTGTGTGTGTGCGTGCGCGCGCGCATGTGTGTGTGTATGCGCGCGTGTGTGTGTGTGCGTGCGCGCGCATGTGTGTGTGTGTGAACCAGACTACCTTTAGTGACCCATATTTATTTTACTAGAATTTATATGAAAAAGACCCAAAAATCGTTATTTGCTCAATTCATCGTTGAAGAATTTACACTAATTCGCCATGAAAGAATTTAATTTTCCACCAATTCACATTTTTTTCCTCCCTCTTTTTTTTTATGATTTTTTCTATTCACCAGTTTCATCTTTTTCATCCGGGTTCGTTTAAAAAAAATCGTCTCATTTCCATTCTGTTTCGTTAATTGATTTTTTTTTCGTTGTACATTTCGGCGTGAAAACATTCATTCGGACAACGCTGGTAACTGTAGTTTTTTCTTCTTTCGTTATGTTATTCTCTATGGAAAACAATTATTAAGAGAATAATTCGTTTCCATTTGATTTCTTTTTCGTTGAAGGTTTTTCTCTCGCTATTCAGTGTAAAAGAAATCTATTCAACTGGCACTGGCACTAGGGAGGGTGTTAATGCCTCTCTCTCTCTCTCTCTCTCTCTCTCTCTCTCTCTCTCGTTCAAGGTTTATTTCCCTCGCTTTTCGCTTTAAAGCCTTCGACACACACACACACACACACACACACACACACACACACACACACACACACACACACACATCAGAATATTTTGTGTTGTGTTAATTTTTTCTTCAGGTATACAAGAGAAAATTATATATGCGTTATTTGCATTCAGTCTCGTTCAAGAATTCGCTTTCCACTTTTACCTACAGACGTCATGCAAATAAAGGTGGGCACAGGTGTTTTAGGTCACCAGTCACAGGTCGCTTTTTCGGGTACAATTCCGGAGTGAAAGTATTTGTTATTTGGGCAGTTTTGACTTTTTTTTTTTACCTTTTCGAAATTTATTCCAATTACCCTCTTTTTTTGGGGGTTTTCTTTATTCATTTTCTTTGTAGGTTTTATTTTTCAAATCAAGGAGGAACTTAGGGATAGGCCTAGGTGCGAGGGTGGGGGGGGTGGGGGGGGGTGTTCAAGCTAGGCCTCTTATATTTATTTGAAGTCATGTGAGAAATTAATTAGTATCGTTTACAAGGGAAAATCTGGTCTGAAGTTGTATTATTTTTTTATGGAATTCTTATATAAAACCGCTTCATTTTATATTTACCTTTTGATTAAGTAATTTTTTTGTTTTTCTGTCGATTTTCGGTGTCAATAAGAACCATTGCCCCAAACAGTCGTCGGAACACGTCTTAGGTTTCCATTCAGAGGTTTCCATTCAGAGCCCCCCGGAAGCGGCAGCCTCGGGGAGTGGGTCGTCCCAGTCGATAGTTCCATTTCGGGGGAGGGAGCTTACTGCAGAGCTCTGGGACGCGCGAGGAGGTTTTCATTGATCTGTTTCATTCACAGCCTTTACTCCGACCCACACTGACGTACGCTGCCTCCATGACCCACACTGCTTGACCCATGCTGTAGATTTATGCTATTTTTATCCTGCTTGACCCACACTGCCTGACCCACACTGTAGATCTATGTTATTTTTACCCTGCATGACCCACACTGTAGATCTGTTATTTTTACGCTACATGACCCACACTGGACCTGCGTAAAACCCACACTTCATGACCCACACTTCATGACCCACACTTCATGACCCACACTTCATGACCCACACTTCATGACCCACACTTCATGGCCCACACTGCATGACCCCACTGCATGATCCCATTGCATGACCCCATTGTAGAATTGTAGCATTGTAAACCTTCCTTGTAACTATGAATACCAGGAATTTGAGAGAGAGAGAGAGAGATCCTTGGTATATATTGAACTCAGAACCTTTCAGAAGTTCTATTGAATCCTCTCTGTGATGTTCTGTTCCGGGGTCTCTCACACACACACAGATTATAACCAAAGATCTCATTCAAAAGGTTCCTTCCAGAAACTTCTCCAGGGACAAGTATGAGCTCCTCTGAATATATAATAGCAACAAAGAAAAACAGAATGAGAGAGAGAGAGAGAGAGAGAGAGGTAAGGAAAATGTGTAGAATTAGCTCTTGAACAATGGGGAAAGCTGGTGATAAATGATGTCATGTATAATGACTGAGCGACACGACATTCATGTGGACGCGTGGATGATGGTAAGGATGATGATGATGAGAGGGAAAGGGAGAGAGAGAGGGTATGAGACGGAGAGAGGGAGGGAGGGGTAGGGGAGGGATGGGGGTATAGGGAGGAGGCAACACAGCGAGGAGGACAGTCGTGTTCTGGGCTGTGTGGCGGGAGGGAGTGTTAGCATGTGGTGGGGTGTGTGCGCGACTCGGCGGCAGTACTCAAGGTCCGTCAGCGTGTGGTGTGGTGTGGTAACTGTCCTTCACCACCACACTTGTCGCAGTGGTGGTGGTGGTAGACTCGGGTTATCAGATCCACGTAGTAGTAATAAGTCGCAGTAGTAGTAGTAGTAGCAGCAGTAGTAGTAGTAGTAGTAGTAGTAGTAGTAGTAGCAGTAGTAAGAGTAAAATATTCATGTTGCTGGTGACTGTAGTGGTAATCAATAGGATGTAAACAAAGTTGTCCGACGTGATGAATGGACGGGGAGACGCTGGTTGTTCCTTATCGCAGGCGAGTGATGTATGTTCTCCAGGGTGATGTAGGAGACACTGGTGCGTCTCCTCCTGTATGTGTTACTCGCCTTAGAGAACGAGATAAGTCTCCCGTCATTCTAGACTTGAACGACAAAATTCCTCTTAAAACGACAACAACAAAACTACTAGTGGAAAAATGTGTTCCTTGTGGTCATATTCAAGTGAGTCGTGATGGTGGTATGAGCTGGCTGGCTGTGTTGGCTGGCTGGTTACTATCAGAGCTCCAGCCACGCTACAACTGGAAGAGGTCCAAGAATCACTGGAGTTTACTACCCATAACTTCCCTCCCTCCTGCTGGTCATGTGGACACTACTCGGGTTGTTTGTTTGTGTGTGTGTGTGTGTGGGGCAAACGTCATGGAAGTCTCGCTCACTTACTCTCTGCGGTCCACCAAACCTCCCCAACTCTCCTCACCAAACCTCACGCCTCATTACATCATCTTAGTTTGTGATATGACGTGTGTGTAAGGGGGACGAGGGGGTGGTGCATTATCGTCCATTAGCCTTGTTACCGGCGGGACTCTGAGGCGGATTATGCATCTCTCCCGCTCTCCACCAGGACTCACTCTTGTTATAGCCATAATACATGATACTGTACGAGGTTCTCTGGTTCTCGTAAATCCGTCCCACCAGTCATGATGTTGATGATGGTTTCACGACTGACTGGGACTTTGTTATTTCTCCCTCTTTGTTTTATGTGCTGTTTCTTTCCCACAGTCAAGTTATTGCGCGGGTCATTCTTAGTTTTATGTTAGTTTTAAATTAACATCTGTATGCTGAGTTAAAGTGTGTGTGTGTGTGTGTGTGTGTCTGTCTGTCTGTCTGTCTGTCTGTCTGTCTGTCTGTCTGGCTAAAACACTTGCCAGAATTCAGGTTTTATTAGTGTGTTGAAGTCATTATGAATCGTGCGTGAGGTGAGCTGTGGGACGGGAGGAGGAGGAGGAGGAGGAGGTTATGGCAGTGTGGCGGGATAATAAAGGTGTAATGGAGGCAGTTTGTGGGTGACAATAACAGGGAAATTTTTCTCTTTATTTAACCTCAGAGTCATTATTGTTACGGCTGCATTGTGGATCTGTTGCGGCGATGCATTATAATTTAAATCTTTCTTACCTCTGGGATTTACCTGTGTGTGTGTGTCTGTGATTTAGGTTAATATTATCAGTATCTGTTGATCTACGTATGTGTGTTAGTTCTATTCTGTATTTTTCGCTGTATTTGTATCAGGAACTGTATTTTATGTCACTATAGTTTTCTTTGTAACTGTATTTGTAATTCTATTTATATCTGTGTTCGTGTGACTGTAATTGTATGTCTTTGTAACTGTATTTATCGTTGTATTTGTATCTGTCGACGTGTTTGAATTATTTACCTCCTACACATATCATTTTAGTTGAATAATTTACCTGTCACAACACACCACTCTCTTGTTTACTTCGTGGGCGCTGTTTCCCGTCGTGAGGGTAGAGAGGTTTAGTCTGGATTATCTGAAAACACTCTCTGAAATTACCAGGTGGTGGAGCTGAGCTGAATTCACTGAAGGTGTGTATCGAGTCCATGATTACAGGTGCGAGGACAGGTAACAGATACAGAGGAGAAGGAGAGACAGAGATACGAGGGCAAGTAGATGATTTTAAGTTCAGGTAAACTTGTTAATTGATATAGTTAAAGCCACAGGTGCGAGGATATTAGCAGATACTAATTTATGCACAGGAACTAGTTTATGTGATTTATATAATTTATCGCATATATCATGTCTTTTGGGGTTCTTTAGTAGGATATATCATTTGTCCCATCCAGTAGGCTATGTATATTTCATGTATACCGTGCTGTATGTAATTTATATATTTTCGTCAATATATTTTGTCTATTTTTCCTGGTCTTAGTGTCAATGGAATTTATATATATATATATATTTTACTCTATCGGTCACTCTCTATGCAAATATTATATACCGTATGTAAAATAATATATACCGTAGCTATGTATTTTGTCTGTCATATTTTTTTATAGTATACCGTGACCTTCCCCCGCCGTGTGTGTGTGTCACCATGGCGCGTGTGGGTCTGAGTTGTAGAGGTAGGGAGGTCGGTTTATGAGGGCCTGGTAAAGGTGTATGGTGGCGTTGTAAACAGTGGGTGTGAGGGCGGGGAGTGGGTGTGGGTGTGTGGGGAGGGGGGGTGTTTGTGTTCTGTTCTCACTCGTTGACTGGCGTGATCCTGTCTGGCCTTAATGGGGGAGGGGGGTGGAATAGGGATGAAGGGAGGAATAGGTAGGGGGAAGAGGGAGGGATAGGTAAGGGAAGTAAGGGATAGGGGGGGAGGGATAGATGGATAGATAGGAAAGGGAAGGAAGGAAGGAAGGAAGGAGGTAAAGATAAGGAAGAGACAGAAGGTAAAAGAGAGGAAAGAGATAAAGAGAAATAAAGGGAGATGGAAGATGGTGGAGAGAATCCGAAAGAAAGAGAGAGTGAGAAAGAGAGTGAGAGAGATAGTGAGAAAGGGAGTGAGAAAGAGAGTGAGAAATAGAGTGAGAAAGGCAATTGACAAATAACAAAGACGAAAAACGAACTCACATACACTTCATTACACCTCAAAAGTTATACCCAAATGAATATAATAAACTCAACATTTACCTCAAGTGTTTTGTTATGATGCTCCGCCGTGCTGGAGTTTTCAAGGCTTAATGTCCAATATTTCTCGCCGTGAGGAACAGTGAGAGAATTTCCGGCTGTTTAAAGGTGATTCTAAGCTTAGTATTATGGGTACAGAGGGCCTGCTGGTGAAATAGGTGGCTTGTGTGTTTGTTGTTAGTGTGGTGTGAAGGTCATGTGGTAGTGTGGTATGTGGTGTGAAGGTCATGTGGTGTGGTGGTAGTGTGGTATGGGGTGTGAAGGTCATGTGGTGTGGTGGTAGTGTGGTATGTGGTGTGAAGGTCATGTGGTGTGGTGGTAGTGTGGTATGGGGTGTGAAGGTCATGTGGTGTGGTGGTAGTGTGGTATGGGGTGTGAAGGTCATGTGGTGTGGTGGTAGTGTGGTATGTGAAGGTCATGTGTGTGGTGTGGTGATGGGGTGAAGGTCATGTGGTGTGGTGGTAGTGTGGTATGTGTGAAGGGTGGTGTGGTGGTAGTGTGGTATGGGGTGTGAAGGTCATGTGGTGTGGTGGTAGTGTGGTATGGTGTGAAGGTCATGTGGTGTGGTGTGGTGTTATGCAGTTATTACATTAGGCTATCATGATTTTATAAGCCAATCAGTTTAAAAATATTTGTTTGGGTTGTGTTAAAATACGTTAGATTAGATTAGAGTTTATCAGGATTAAGACCTACTGTACCTGGAACTTATTTAACCACACCTTAAACAACCTACAGTAAACAATAAACATCGAGTAATTAAACCAAGGATAAACAAGAAATAAAAAGATCCCTCACGTAATATTCCTCCATCAGTGAAGCCAAGAGAGACGCCCCACCCTGGACCACCTAAAACACAACCCCACACCTAAAGAGGAAGTGGTATTTCATAAGCCAGACTGTATATCCAATTACAGAGATGAAAAATAATGTTGTGGGGAGAGAGACGATACGAGGCACAGGGGGGAAGGGGCCATTTTTGGCTGTGACCCTTGTTATGTACACACACACACACACACACACACACGCACATACACACACACATACATACATACATACATACATACATACATACATACATACATACATACATACATACATACATACATACATACACATACATACATACATACATACACACACATACATATATACACACATATACACACGAAGGGTCTGTTTGGGAAGACTATATGAAGGAGATAGGTTAGGTTAGGTTAGGTTAGGTTAGGTTAGTTTATTGGTTTAATGCCTCTCTTATACACCTAATTTGGATCCGATTCCACAGCAGGTGTGGCTAGGTAGTGTGGCACAGTAGTGTGGCTCGGTAGTGTGGCAGTAATGAATCCGGATCAGCGACGGGAGGGGGAGGGGGAGATAGTGATGGTGGACGGGAAGGAGGGGCATTGGGGAGGTAGTGGAGTTGGACGGGGAGGATGGGTTGGGGAGGGGGGAGTGGGGAGGATGGGTTGGGGAGGGGGGAGTGGGGAGGATGGGTTGGGGAGTGGGGAGGACTTTGATGTGGGTGAGCGAGGCGGTAAACCACGGCGGGCGCTGGACAGAACCTCAGTAATGTACACTTTAAAGCTGAACTCTCCTGTCTTGTGGGTCTCTCCCCTGGTGGTACATTGGGTGGAGAGGGACGGTACATTGGGTGATAAGGACGGTACATTGGGTGGAGAGGGACGGTACATTAGGTGGAGAGGGACGGTACATTAGGTGGAGAGGGACGGTACATTGGTGGAGGGACGGTACATTGGGTGGAGAGGGACGGTACATTAGGGGTGGAGAGGGACGGTACATTAGGTGGAGAGGGACGGTACATTGGGTGATAAGGGACGGTACATTGGGTGATAAGGGACGGTACATTAGGTGGAGAGGGACGGTACATTGGGTGATAAGGGACGGTACATTGGGTGATAAGGGACGGTACATTAGGTGGAGAGGGACGGTACATTGGGTGATAAGGGACGGTACATTGGGTGATAAGGGACGGTACATTGGGTGATAAGGGACGGTACATTAGGTGGAGAGGGACGGTACATTGGGTGGAAAGACGGTGCATGGG